ATTCCTGCTAGGAATGCTAAGCCAATTAAATTTGGGAACTAATGCTTTGGATATTTGCTGCTTTGCTTTTTCTATAATTTCAAGAGAGAAGAAATGAATGTTGCTAAGTATTGGAGCAAATAATGCTTCTATTCAGATTGGTAACTGGCATAGTTTTCACATTACTTTTCAGAAATAATAGGTATATTAGCAAACAAGGTAATGGAAGAGGGGTGAGTTGAATAAGCTAAACTGAAAGTAGCATTGCTTGATGTCACGTCAAGCCTACTCATGTTAACAGTTCCTGGTGTGGTTGAAATGGAAAGCTTGCTTTGCTGCTGTCTATGTTGAGTTTAAAACATTTCTGTATTTAAACACTTCTGTGCTTGGAATTCTTCTGCATCCTGTGTTCCTGCCAACTAGTATTACTGAAGGAGCTGCCTCATTTGAAGCATCCAAAATATGCAAATAGTTTGTGTAAGAACTATGCTGTATCCCCTGTTTTGCAGATTTTGATAAAGAAGTATTCCTGCAGACCTGTTGTTTGGGGTCTTCCATACAAAAATTTCTAGGAAAGACCCAAGAGATCTTTCCTCAGCTTTATGAATTTTCAAGGAGAGACAAAAGGACAAAAAGTTGTTCATGGAGGACTTCAGGCACCTGTCATAATGTCTGTAGAGCTCTTAAGGGCTCTGACAGACGATGGTGGATTAAATCCACGTGATGATGGATTTTAATTCTTTGGCTAAAGCATATACCACAGCAAGTCATACAGTCAGCCCTTCCGGCAGATATTTTTGCCAACTGAATAGTCCTTGGCTTCAGCTTGCTAGAATAGACAAGATCCAAAACTGTGATAGCAATGAGGGAAGCAAGTCTTTCCAAGAGGATGACTGCCTAGTAATACCTAGGTCTTTCAGTTTTATTCTCCTACAGCACGTCTGCCAGAGCCTTGACACTGCACAGGAACATTTGGTATACGAACAAATACAGGAAGGGGAGAGGCAACCTGCTGGGGACAATAATGAGAAATATTTCAGTAGAGATGCGGAAGTCAAGTCTGAGGCAAGCAGACAAATACATACCAATTAGTCTCCCACAATTAACAAAAGAGGAACAGTGAAGGTCTAAGAATTAAATTACCTATATGTCACCAGGCATGGAACAGGAAGATAATCGTTAGCTTTTAGAGACAATCAACTCGTTTCAAGTTGCTACCTTGTTCCTTTTCATATAGTAACCAATGGAATTGTAGTCATAGCCTTTTGTTAATTGATACTATTAGGATTATGATCTGACAGGTTGCTTGAATTATATTATTTAATTTAATCTGATTCCTAAAACTGTTCAGACTGGAAAATTTGGAGGGACACTTGATTTGCTTTTAAGAGCTTCCAGCAGCATGTTTTTGGGCACTTCCCATTGTGGCCAGATCCAAACACAGAATCTGCTGGGAAGGCAGTTTAGTCATCAAGGTTAGATCTTGACTTGGTTCTGTGACCATTTAATGGATTAATACAACATTTAGTGAACCATTTTACACAAATATAGATAGCATAAACTCTGGAACCACTGCAGCACTGCTTTCCTCTTCTTGCATCAGGCTGTTTGTTGATAGGTCTGTTGTTATATCCAGCTAAACAATTTGAACAGAATGCTCAAAATACATTCCCATAAATACACTCAGTTTACATGATACATATTAATCCTATTATTAAGAAAAAAAAGTACATACTACTTCAGCCTCCTTGCAGTTGTAAGATTTTTCTTAATAATTTCATTAAAATTTTATGTAATTATTTTTAATCTATCATACACTGAAAGAGTTTTTAACTGTCAGTCTCCTTGTGGTCATTTGCTTACATTCAAAAAGAAAATGTATTTGACACAGTGTAGGTAATTTGTGACTTTTCTGTGGGGAAAAAAAAGATTATGGAAAATACTATTCAAAGGCTGTTTTTTCAATTGCCTTTGCAGGGACCACATGCAGTGGTCACAAGAAGAAGAGGAAAATGCCAAGAAAAAAGCGATAGAGAACTCACTTGTGAAAGTCCAACAGGAAATCCGAGGTAATTAATTCATAATGGCTTGAAAATTCCTATTTTAGTGCTAACTCTTACTTCAAAATCCAGGAACACTGTTTTTATTTCTGCATTCTCTTGTTTGAATTTGTTGGTTGTTTGACCTTTTGTTGTGTTTTTCTTTCTTTTGTTGCCTCAAAAAAATATCTCAAAGTGGTTTTTTTAGCAATTCAGTTACTTATTTGAGCAATTTTGCATTTGCAGGGGGAGGGGGGCAATAGGCTTTATCTAAAACAAGTACATTCGTATGGTGCAGTTGCAAGTTCTGGCTCCTTTTGCAGTTCTTCACAATAAAACTCCTACTACACAGGATTGTTACTTCAAAGGGAGTGAATCTGCAGCCAGCTAGGATGCTAAGGATGAAAGTTCCCATGTACAATATTAGAATGCTTTTTAATGATTTGTGGAGTGTTTGTCCATTGCACCATATTTCAGTGCCATGGAAGGTATACTGGTCTCAGCTGGTCCCAGCTTGCTGCCTTGGACAGGCTGAGCTGGGAGTGCTTCAGGAATCCAGTGTGTTCACTTTGTGTGGAAGGTGTTCCAGTACATCATGCTGAGTCTGCTCTGTAAATGATTAAGAAATTTCATGCATGTCTTCAGAGAGGAAACTTAATGTATTCTGCGTTTCTGAAGAATGATCGCTCTAGGTTCAAACCAGCAAACTAAACCCTAGATGGACCTCTAGGATAGTTATGTATGGTAAAGATGGTGTATCAACTTGCTAGTAACATAGAACACTGGATTCTTAATTTGCTCCTTTATTAGAAAGATATTATGAAAACAATTACTTTCATGTCCTGGACCTCTGTTTACTTAGCATGTCTTGAGCTTGTCAAATTAGATAGTGACATTTTCATCATGTGCTTAGTTTTATTGATGTAACTAGAGCACATGTTGGATTTTATTTTAATTACCTACGAATGTGTCTTGGATTGTGTGCCCTTTGTCACTTTGAATGCTCTGGGATTGCCATCCTGCCCTTCTCTGTTACTTCTTACATTATTTAAATACAGGAGTACAATGTTTGTTTTTCAAAAACGAAACCTAGTATTTTCATGTGGTTTGTATACAAAGTTGAAAAAGAGCTCATAATTGGAAAGTAAGCTGTGTAACCGTATGGTTATGGGACCTTTCATTCTTCATCTAGAGTCAATTAGAACTTAGTTTGTGCTGGTGAGAAATGGAATAATCAGGTTTTTCTCTATTGCCAAGAAATACAAGAATCCAAGGACATTTCCTATGAATGCCCCACTGTTTAGAACTTGAATAGGTGAGCATTACTGATAGTGTTTCTTCAGAAAGCTTCAGCTTCATTCTGAAAGTGGAAGTACATTTTGGCCTATTTGTGTAAACAATGAACCAGATTGAAGCTAACAAGCAGGTTATTTTGGGGCCTTGGAAACTACAGTAAGGGGAAGAGGACAATACAGATTTAACAATACTATTGTATCACCAAAATAGAGTAGTTCTGGTGACCCTTGTTAAAACGAGAAGTTAAACTCAATGAACTCATTATACTACCTGAAGGAATTTGATTTACTTATTAGTATGTCCAATTTCTTCTCAGGCATGCTTCTAGTGGATGAAAATTCTGTTAAGGAGAAAAATTAGTTGACTAAGTAAAAGGATTTTTTTTGTCTTGAAATTATGTTTATTAGTTTTGTAATTTTTTATATGCTTGGAAAAATACAGTATTTAGACTATAAATATACAAAATGAAACAAAAATTTGCTTATTATAATAATGCATGTCTGGTTATTACACAGTGGTTCAGGAGTGACCAGTGAAAGAATGGAATAAAGTGTTAACTTGAATCTGTGTAATGCCATACAAATGCAACTTGATAGGCTGACTTTAGCCATTGCTTCTCTTAATTTCTGAATTCTGGAAAACTTGATCAGAATTGAAGTACAAGGCTTCTGAGCAGACTTGTAGAAAAGTAATGTGGCTGTAACAAGGGGTTGAAAATTAGTTAAGAACTTTGGGAGTAGGTTTGTTTCTTGTACTGAAGCTGGGCAATCTATGAATGTGCAAGTTACACTGTTGCAGTCCAGTGTACATGACCTCAATCAACTCTGCACTTGTATTATAAAACAAGTCTCTGCAATTACTCTGCATGGCTGGGTCTTGCCCTTTAATAATACAAATAGATATATTAAATCTTAAATTAAAACAATTATGCAGGTTTCTAGGACAAGGCATTCTGCCACCTCCTTGCCACTTCCCACTGCCTGTTTGTGCCTATAATGAGAATTTTTAGCCTTGTGTATCTCTGAAAAGCTGTAGCAACATTAGGAAATAGTATGTTAATATTTAGTGAGAGTAGTAGAAGAAATGCACCATATATTTACTCTGTGCATTTATACTAAAAGAATTAATGGGTCAGTGTAAGTGAGTAGGGAACAAGTAAAAAAGGAAACACGCTATATGATGTACACTTGGCAGGAGATGTCAAGGGTAACAAGAAACAGTTCTGTAAGTGCTTTGAGAACAAGGGGATAAAAAAGAAGAAAAAATATTTGCATTAGTATTTAGGAGGGATGAGGAAGGGAAAACCATTAACCAAACAAAGCCATTATCAAAAGAGACATAGCGCAATTAGTGCCAATGAGAAGGAGGAAAGATCTTGTTCTCATATTGAGAAAGAACAGGTTACAAAGTACATCCATAAAGTACATGGATGACTGGGAAAGCAGAAAAGAGAATATTTGCTTTTTTAAAAAGGGAGGTGGGGAAAGAGAAGAGTCAGAGAATTAGTTTCAGTTCTTGGAAAAATACTGGAAGAGATAATCCAGAGCCTGCAAACACTGGGTTTGGAAGAACAAAGGAGATGAAAACTGGCCAACAAATATTTTTCAATAATAAATCATGTAAAGTTGAGCTGATTTCCTTCTTGGAGAAGGTTACAAGCCCTGGGGATAAGAAAAAAACACCAGACGTCCTGAAATTTATCCTTAGTCAGGCTTCTGACTTGCTTTACTTGACATTTTCATAAGTCAGGCAAGCAAGTGCTAATTAAGCTGCTTTTGGGTGAATGAATGCCTAGAGAGATCCTTTCAGAATGCAAGACTGTGCTGGGCAAAGAAGTATTTTGTTCCATGTCCAGTTCTGCTTGGTGTTTTCACTAGTGACCCCAGGAAATGGGAGACTTGAAGACGATAGTGAAGAGATGTTTCAGTATGGTGAAGGACAGGATTAGGATTTTGAAAGATATGGACAAACAGTAAAAAAAAAAAAGGGGTCTGAAAGATACAAATCTGCTAAAATTTCATTCAGAATAGTTTGCTTAGGAATAATTCTTTAAAAAAACCCACAAAACTTTGTTCTGTAACAATTGGCTAGGTATTAATTTTGCAGAGGAAGATCTGAGGATTGTGGTGAATCACTAGCTGAATCAGCAGTGTCATACTGTTGCAAAACAGCAAGCTGGGAGTTATAAACAGGGTTACAGCCTGTAAGCCTTGTAAAGTATTCCTTTTGCTCTGTGTTGATAATGCCATTACCAGAATACAGCACCAAAAAGTAGTAAATCAATTGGAGAGAATCTAGAGAAGTGATCAGAAGTCTGAAATAATGGCTTTTGCAGAAAAAATAAGAGAGTGAGGTTTAGACATTCTAGAGGTTGTATATGGGAGACTTAGTAAAAGATTTCAAAGCAGTAAGCAGATATTGCAAAGAGAAATGAGCAATCTTTGCTTTATCTGCTTGGTTAGTGGGACAAGAATTACGGGACTTAAATTGCAATTAGGAAAAAAAAGGTTAGGTAGTTGAAAAGGTTATTAACTGTACAGATGATGGACTGTAATATATTACTGAAGAAAGTTGTCAAACCTATATGAAAAGTATTTTAAGAACAAGTTGGACAGATTTCTGTGGAGAGGAGTATGAATTCCTTTATTGGATGAAATCCCTTCCAGCCCTATTTGACATTCTAACATTCAGGAATGAAAAGTTAAAACAAAGGTCTACTGTAAGACTCTTTGAAGTGTTTTGAAAGTAAGAAAGCCAATATGTTGTTTCTGACTATTGTTATTTTCTGTCCCTGTGTCGTTAAACTGTCATGGGTGAATTACTGTCCATTGGCTATGAGGTAGCACTTATCACTCCAGTTCACAGACTGTATTTCTAATTGATGGTTTTGTTGAGAGATTACTAGCTACAAACAAATCTGTGATTGTTCATAGAGTTTCATAAATCATGACATTAACTTCTATTTAGTATTACCTTAGTAAGAAAAACATGGACAACATATAATTGAAAGGGTGCATTGCTTTTATAGTATGCGACATGAAAGTCTGTCATAAGAAACTTATGATTGCATATTTTGGTAATGCTTGACTATTATGTCACTACATTAAAAAGAAAAAAAAAGATGGTGCAGAAATCCTGTCCGCCCCATCTTAAATTACATGAGATCTAATTAAACCCTCGTGTGAGTTATTTTGACCACAGATTAAGTTAAAACCCCCAATCTAATGTTTTTGTTTAAATATGCACTATGTGATAAACTACAGATTTTGAAACTATAAGTTTGGGGTCCAAATTCCATGTTGTTTTACAGTATTTTGTAGCTAAGCTCATATTCACCAAGTTTTTGTTTTGTTTCTATTTCAGATAAATATGAAAGAGAAGCCAGTAAATACTGGAATGAATTTTACAAGACTCATAAAAATAACTTTTTCAAGGATCGCAATTGGCTGTTTCTGGAGTTTCCAGAAATTCTTCCAGAAAAAAGGAGAGAAGAGTTGAAAACAGAAGAAAAACCTTCAGAACACGAAAAAAGAAATAGTACCAGCAGTTTTTCACACAAAAATGAAATGTTTGAGGAAAGAGAAGAATACTGGACCAAAAATTATGGAGGTGGTTCTGCATCTGTACAAGGACATGTATGTAATAAAAAACAAGCAGAATCTCTTACTGACAATCCTCAGGATAAAAACTGTGGAGAAGAACTTGGCAGGCTAGAATCCTTCCCTGGTAGTGATGCTGCTTACAGAATATTAGAGGTAATGCACTGCAGATGTTTTACCCATCCACTTAATTGCTCAAAAGCCTAATAAAGATGCTTAGAAAGTATCAAGAAAGTAACATTTAAAATTTTACTTACGACATTCATTTATGCCAGAAACTTTCAGAGAAACCTAGGATCTGAGTTTTGTTTTACCTCTAAAGTTTCTCCCAAATCAGAATTTACGGCTAGATTGTCAGATTCCATTTTCACTGAAAATTTGGTTTCTGATTTCCTAAGGAAAGTTCTGTCTTAAAGTGCTCTGTTTTAAAATGCAAGGACTTGATGCATTCTTGCCAAATGGTGAAAACTGACAAGAATATTGCATTTTCCTATGCAGTTCGAGAGATGGGTTCTCTCTTAATTGTAGAAAGACAATGAGAAGAAACGTATCATAGAAGTGATTTGAGAATTGTGGTATGAGCTGTTTATACCTTTTCTGTCCAACATACCTTAACTAACTTAAGACAAAAATAAAGAAATATGAGATTTTGTTTGCTCATTTTTTTTAACTTTGTTTCTCTTCTGATTTTAGGTTGGTTGTGGTGCTGGAAACAGTGTATTTCCAATTTTGAAAGTTCTATGGTATGTAGTGCCATAGTTTTTAACTATGAAAGTTCTATTTTCATCTTCCTCATTTACTTCAAATGTTGGTGGTAGACCCGTGCTGCAGGAAGTGTTGAGTGGGCTGTTTTACAGCCCTGAATTCTGACTGCTTGTGGCCACAGATAATGTTGGTAGCATCAGTATAAGAGATGCCTCATAATTGTCAACCCAAGTCTGGGGGGACCATATTTGCTGACCAGGTTTGTCTCCAAGGGCATTCAGACTGATTTCTTGTAGTTAATCTTAAATAGGTGAAATATCTCTTATCTTATATGTCACTGTAAAGCTACCAGCTAAATCTTCAAAAGGCCAAAATCAAAGGCAGTAGATAATGCCATGTGATCTACTGGTTAGAAGTTGTATTCTTTCTGTATTTGCCTGCTACACTTTGTCATATTCCTTCAGGTTTAATGTCAAGGAAGGCATGAGTCCTGTATTGCATTACTTAATTCCCTGAAACATCTTAATCCACTAAGCTTCCGGCTTTAGAAGAAGCTGTTACAACAGCATGCCTTCCCTTCCATGCAGGCAGGGAGGTTTTATTGGAAAGGCTGTGTAGGTATCAAGGTCTGAAATAGATTTCTTTGTATTCACACCACCAAGAGCATGAGTACAGCTCAGTAAGTTATTCTGCTAATGAGATCTGATTGCTAGCATCACTACTATACAAAAATGCTATGTTTTGCAGAAATGGAAACAGGGAGCAAGAGGAATTGAGTGATAGACGAGGATCATACATGAATCCTATTAGTGCGAGCTGTGCATCTTCATCACACAACAAATGCTTTGCTTTAGATAGCATTTAATGAAAGGGGAGCCCTGTTTCATATGAAAAATTTGGAAAGTAACACTATGTAGAGAAAATATATAATGTAACTATTAAAAAAGATGAGACAAACTTTTGTTTTTTCCTTGCAGGCATTAGTTATAGGTTGGCATTTCTGAATTAAGAATCCACTTGTTAGGTTATTTTTCCTGAAGATCCCTATTCTTATGCAAATCCTTCAACCAAGGATGCAAACTGGAACATGGGAGGTTCCACATAGGTATCAGAAAAATCTTCTTTACTGTGAGAGTGACAGAACACTGGAACAGGCTGCCCAGAGAGGCTGTGGAGTCTGCTTCGCTGGAGACGTTCAAAACCCACCTGGACACGTTCTTGTGTGACGTGCTCTAGGTGATCCTGCTCTGGCAGGGAGGTTGGACTAGATGATCTTTTGAGCTCCCTTCCAACCCCTAAAATTCTGTAATTCTGTAATCACATTGATTGGTACAAAATTAATATGTTTGTCATGTGTATGTCCTGATGAAACATCTTTTGTCACTTGGAAGGACTGGCTTTATAGCACAGTTGGTTTTACTCTGAATTTAATAATAGAAAAAATACTTTTTGTATGCATATAAAAAGAAGCCAGCATCAAGTATGACTGTACCCTGGCTACAAAAAAATTTCCACTCAGATTTGCAACATAACTTTTAAACCACTTCCCTCTTCCCCCCTTAAAATTTAAGTTACTGCATTTTAATACAGTGCATCATGAAATCACCATCTAGATAAAGCTGTGCCTTTAAGTTGACTTTCTACATAGATCCCATTCTGCTTTTAACAAATTGAAATAACATCCTAACAAGTCAATTAGGTAATCAACCTAAGCTTTCCCAAGGGACTGGCTGGGTCCAAGGCCTGACTACTTGTCCTCATCCATGATAAACATCTAAGCTCACCAACTCTCATGTTTGGCAGATAGCTGATAAAAGTTTTGTTCAGCATCAAGAATGGAATATACTTTGGTTCACAAGAGTTTTCCTGTTGAGCCCTTGGAGGGGGGGATTCAGCTGTGTATACTGTGAGATCTTATAGACACTGCCAGAGTTTATTGATTCCATTTCTAAAGAGACCATCTGTCGAAAATACCAATTTTTTAAAAGAGAGATTAATCGATCTTGAGTTTAGTATGAGGTCATCCCTCAGAAGGTTTTGAAGGACTTGCTTAATTTCTCTTAAATTAATTTTGGACACAAAAAAAAATTCTCCCTGGAGATACTAGTATCTCATGAATGGTATGAGGAAGTTTGCAGCTGGCTTAGTCTTGGATGGGGAATGAAGGGAAAATAGTGCTAGAGGAAATTCTTATTCACCTTGGTTTAAAAAACAAAGGGATAATGGAGAGAAACAACCAATACTGGTTTATCGAATCAAAAGCACAGCAAGGTGGCACACGGGAACCCAAACCTCCACAGGACTGTAGATGATTTTTGTAGCACCCCACCCCTGCTGAAATCATATTGCTAATTAAACTGCATACATGGGCTAATGATAGAAACCTAATGCAGTGCTTCTGTAAGAAAATGTGACCCATTAATGTGCGTTTATATAATACAACACTAGGACACCGTTATCAATCCTGACAGCCCTCTGTGACCTTCTTTTTTTTCTTTTTTCACTTCCTCCCTGACAAGGCTATAATTCTCCTTTTTAAACTTACTGCCTGTTGGTATTCTTATGAATTTGTCTGCCCTATTAGTTCATTACAACCTATGTGGCTTTCCATGTGCTAGACATCAATAAGGCATGTGTGATCAAACCTGTGGAGAACCCCAAAGGGCCCTCTGTAGTTCCATGAACACTGATGGCAGACTTTCATCTTTTACAATAATAAGTTTTTAACTGATGTTGGGTTTGTTTTCCTAGCAAAACACCTGGAACCTTTCTGTACTGTTGTGATTTTGCTTCAGGAGCAGTGGAGCTGGTTAAGGTAATTCATATGATCTCTTTAGAGTACCTATAAGCCTGTAATTCAGGAGGCTGCCAGGAAGCCATCTTCATGAAAAAGAATGTTATGGCTTTGACAACTTTTAACTGAAGTTTTCAGTATTCCAAAGAACAAAGTCTTATTCTATGCAGGGAGGAATGAATGCCATCAGTGAACTTGCTTCTCAGCTTGAGTAAGATACCAGACAGAATAGGCTTTTATATGAGATGTTTTACAATGCTGAATAATTGAAGAAAAAAAGTTTCTTGAGTCACAGTAAACGTATTAACTACTACTGTTCTCTCTATGCCTCTTTTCATCTTTTTCCTGACAGTCACATTCGTCCTACAATTCAGCCTGGTGTTCTGCCTTTGTTCATGATGTGTGTGATGATGCTTTACCCTATCCTTTTCCAGATGAGATCCTGGATGTCATTCTCCTTGTCTTTGTGCTCTCAACTATTCATCCTGACAGGTAAATGAAGACTAAAGGGCAAAGCAAATGGGTTAAATCTCTTTTATTGCTGGAGGTTTTCAAGAATAGCAGAAGACAATGATTCTTTAATTTATTATTTACTGAGCTATGATATATATAAAACAAGGTATTTCAAATGCTGTTTTAAGGCTTCAAGAGAGAAACTGGTTAGTCTAATTCATTAGGGAGCCTTCTGTCTCCATCAGAATACAAGGTGTATATTGTAACTAAATACTTCCCTATTAAAAGTGACTGTGATCCAAGAAAATTAAAAAAACAGACCACTAGTCTTCTAGAAGCAAATTTTATTGATCAAATGCAGACATTCATGATTTAAAACCTTATGGTACGTTGATAAATACTTAGGTTACAGATTTAGCTGTACACAAGTAGTTGTTCCATGCAGGCCTTTTAAACCAAAATGCCTTCAGGATTTTTGGAATTTGTTTGGATTAAGAAAACTTGATCTAATTTTCACACATAGTGTTATGTTGAGTGCTCTTAGCCTTGCTACTAATGCCTTTCAATGTCTAATGTACAAACTTTATAACTGTTAAGACTGGATGATAATGAAAATGCCCTTTTTAATGGGAAGAATGCAGAAAAGGGCACGTAAGTTAAACTGCTTGACTCTTCCTTTCACCAGATCATATGAAAGCATTGCTGTATGTGTAGCGATACATTTATTACTTAAAGAATGTCTTTAAAATGGGCTTGGCAAACAGAAGTCTGAAAATTGTTTCCCTGCCTAAGTTAGTAATTATTTGCTCTACAGAAAAATCTTTCCCATATAGGATATTGCTCCTTCTTGTTTGTTCAGAGATGAGCACATGAGTCATGCAAAGCCTGGGTCCAGATTTCAAAAAACAAATCAAGCAGTGGATTTCAGGTCTCTGTAACTGTGGTGATGCTGCCAGGAAGACGTTGTACAATAGAGACACGTTCATTCAATTGCTTTGCCTGGAAAAACAATAATCAGATGTTCTGTCAGAATTTCTGTGGATCTTTTCCTATTAGTCATTTGTCTTATTTAAAATTTTCTTTCTTCCTACCAGTGTCTAAATGCTGATATGGATGCTTGTGTGCGTGTATACACATGTAAAAATGTCCACGTAATTATTTGTGTTGTAAGACCCAGTTTCCAATGATTTATTAGTCATTACCGTAATCTTATAGACTTAGAATGACTGCATAAAGGCAAATGTAATCCAGATCCATATTGCTCAGTATGTATTTTTTCTGGAAACTTTGAATGTGAGAAATTAAGAAGAAAGCCAAGAGAATGATAATGCAGAACTTGTGTGCTTTGAAGACCTGGAAAATAAACCTTTGTATTCAGCACAATGGTTACTTTAGATATTTCCCTTCAGGTTGTTGTGCTTAGTTTTTGATAATTGCTACTCTTGTATCCCATTTTTAACACTCTTCAATTCTGCCAGAAGTCCTCTTAAAAAGCTGGTTGCAGAATTTGAAAGGTATTAAACAAGCTATGCAATTGATGTGCTCTAGTCCTACGGAATGAGATTTCTCAAAGCACTTTTACTTTTTGTTCATGTTCTATGTGCACAAAATGTCTAGGTTTTTATATAGGCTAAGTCTGTAATTCCATGCACAACAGCGTGTCTTGATCAGTCTCTTTTCCTTAGGTGGTGCTGCCTTTTCTGTCTGTGGCACCACACCTGCCTGTGTTCAGCATGAGCAAAGAGGACAGCTTTTAAAGAACCTGGCTACCTCTAAGGGAATTCTGTGCTTTTTTATTTATTTTTTTTTTCCCTTTTTGTTTGTTTGGAGTTATTTTCTATTGAACTACCTCATAATTCTGTCTCTTACAAATCAAGGTAAAATACCTGCATTGCTGTTGCACGAGAACCAAATTACCTTAGCACTTGAGTTATGACAGTCTTGGGGCAAGAAGTTAAAGGCCACCTGGGAGACAGAGATGGTGTGAGAATGTTCTCTTGGTTCACAAGAGATGGTATGCTGGTTTTGTGTAGTCAAGTAGGACTTACTCTTCTTTAGCCCTTTTCAGATACAACACCCTGCCTTTCCATTGTTTTGTTTGCAGTAGAAACTTCATTCCTTCTAGGGGAGCTTCCCTTTCTATTGTTAGAATGGCATTATGATGTGGCTTTCCATGTGCTAGACATCAATAAGGCATGTGTGATCAAACCTGTGGAGAACCCCAAAGGGCCCTCTGTAGTTCCATGAACACTGATGGCAGACTTTCATCTTTTACAATAATAAGTTTTTAACTGATGTTGGGTTTGTTTTCCTAGCAAAACACCTGGAACCTTTCTGTACTGTTGTGATTTTGCTTCAGGAGCAGTGGAGCTGGTTAAGGTAATTCATATGATCTCTTTAGAGTACCTATAAGCCTGTAATTCAGGAGGCTGCCAGGAAGCCATCTTCATGAAAAAGAATGTTATGGCTTTGACAACTTTTAACTGAAGTTTTCAGTATTCCAAAGAACAAAGTCTTATTCTATGCAGGGAGGAATGAATGCCATCAGTGAACTTGCTTCTCAGCTTGAGTAAGATACCAGACAGAATAGGCTTTTATATGAGATGTTTTACAATGCTGAATAATTGAAGAAAAAAAGTTTCTTGAGTCACAGTAAACGTATTAACTACTACTGTTCTCTCTATGCCTCTTTTCATCTTTTTCCTGACAGTCACATTCGTCCTACAATTCAGCCTGGTGTTCTGCCTTTGTTCATGATGTGTGTGATGATGCTTTACCCTATCCTTTTCCAGATGAGATCCTGGATGTCATTCTCCTTGTCTTTGTGCTCTCAACTATTCATCCTGACAGGTAAATGAAGACTAAAGGGCAAAGCAAATGGGTTAAATCTCTTTTATTGCTGGAGGTTTTCAAGAATAGCAGAAGACAATGATTCTTTAATTTATTATTTACTGAGCTATGATATATATAAAACAAGGTATTTCAAATGCTGTTTTAAGGCTTCAAGAGAGAAACTGGTTAGTCTAATTCATTAGGGAGCCTTCTGTCTCCATCAGAATACAAGGTGTATATTGTAACTAAATACTTCCCTATTAAAAGTGACTGTGATCCAAGAAAATTAAAAAAACAGACCACTAGTCTTCTAGAAGCAAATTTTATTGATCAAATGCAGACATTCATGATTTAAAACCTTATGGTACGTTGATAAATACTTAGGTTACAGATTTAGCTGTACACAAGTAGTTGTTCCATGCAGGCCTTTTAAACCAAAATGCCTTCAGGATTTTTGGAATTTGTTTGGATTAAGAAAACTTGATCTAATTTTCACACATAGTGTTATGTTGAGTGCTCTTAGCCTTGCTACTAATGCCTTTCAATGTCTAATGTACAAACTTTATAACTGTTAAGACTGGATGATAATGAAAATGCCCTTTTTAATGGGAAGAATGCAGAAAAGGGCACGTAAGTTAAACTGCTTGACTCTTCCTTTCACCAGATCATATGAAAGCATTGCTGTATGTGTAGCGATACATTTATTACTTAAAGAATGTCTTTAAAATGGGCTTGGCAAACAGAAGTCTGAAAATTGTTTCCCTGCCTAAGTTAGTAATTATTTGCTCTACAGAAAAATCTTTCCCATATAGGATATTGCTCCTTCTTGTTTGTTCAGAGATGAGCACATGAGTCATGCAAAGCCTGGGTCCAGATTTCAAAAAACAAATCAAGCAGTGGATTTCAGGTCTCTGTAACTGTGGTGATGCTGCCAGGAAGACGTTGTACAATAGAGACACGTTCATTCAATTGCTTTGCCTGGAAAAACAATAATCAGATGTTCTGTCAGAATTTCTGTGGATCTTTTCCTATTAGTCATTTGTCTTATTTAAAATTTTCTTTCTTCCTACCAGTGTCTAAATGCTGATATGGATGCTTGTGTGCGTGTATACACATGTAAAAATGTCCACGTAATTATTTGTGTTGTAAGACCCAGTTTCCAATGATTTATTAGTCATTACCGTAATCTTATAGACTTAGAATGACTGCATAAAGGCAAATGTAATCCAGATCCATATTGCTCAGTATGTATTTTTTCTGGAAACTTTGAATGTGAGAAATTAAGAAGAAAGCCAAGAGAATGATAATGCAGAACTTGTGTGCTTTGAAGACCTGGAAAATAAACCTTTGTATTCAGCACAATGGTTACTTTAGATATTTCCCTTCAGGTTGTTGTGGTTAGTTTTTGATAATTGCTACTCTTGTATCCCATTTTTAACACTCTTCAATTCTGCCAGAAGTCCTCTTAAAAAGCTGGTTGCAGAATTTGAAAGGTATTAAACATTTCTTCAAGCTATGCAATTGATGTGCTCTAGTCCTACGGAATGAGATTTCTCAAAGCACTTTTACTTTTTGTTCATGTTCTATGTGCACAAAATGTCTAGGTTTTTATATAGGCTAAGTCTGTAATTCCATGCACAACAGCGTGTCTTGATCAGTCTCTTTTCCTTAGGTGGTGCTGCCTTTTCTGTCTGTGGCACCACACCTGCCTGTGTTCAGCATGAGCAAAGAGGACAGCTTTTAAAGAACCTGGCTACCTCTAAGGGAATTCTGTGCTTTTTTATTTATTTTTTTTTTCCCTTTTTGTTTGTTTGGAGTTATTTTCTATTGAACTACCTCATAATTCTGTCTCTTACAAATCAAGGTAAAATACCTGCATTGCTGTTGCACGAGAACCAAATTGCCTTAGCACTTGAGTTATGACAGTCTTGGGGCAAGAAGTTAAAGGCCACCTGGGAGACAGAGATGGTGTGAGAATGTTCTCTTGGTTCACAAGAGATGGTATGCTGGTTTTGTGTAGTCAAGTAGGACTTACTCTTCTTTAGCCCTTTTCAGATACAACACCCTGCCTTTCCATTGTTTTGTTTGCAGTAGAAACTTCATTCCTTCTAGGGGAGCTTCCCTTTCTATTGTTAGAATGGCATTATGGCCTCCAACACAAGAAGGGCATGGAGCTCCTGAAGAGGGTCCAGAGGAGGTCACAAGGGCTGGAGCAGCTCTGCTCTGGAGACAGGCTGAGAGAGTTTGGGTTGTTCAACCTGGAGAAGAGAAGGCTCTGGGGGGACCTTAGAGCACCTTCCAGTGTCTGAAGGAGCTACAGGAAAGCTGGGGAGGGAGTTCTGACAAGGGCTTGTAGTGAGAGGACAAGGGGAAATGGATTAAAACTGGAAGAGGAGAGATTTAGGCTAGACATTAGGAGGAAGTTGTTTTATGTAAGGGTGGTGAGAAATTGAACAGGTTTCCCAGGAAAGTTGTAGTTGCCCCATTCCTTGGGGAATGGCCAGGTTGGATGGGGCTTGTAGCAACCTGGTCTAGTGGGAGATGACCCTGCTGCTGCAGGGAGGTTGAACTAGATGATCTTTAAGGTCCCTCCCAACCCAAACCATTCTATGATTTGGCATTCACTCTGGCTCCACATCTTCTACATGGTCTATCTTCTTCCCTGTGGGGGGAAGGGATGAATTAGGCAAGTGGACTTTTCTATCTTGCAGTTTGCCAGGTGCAGACTGCCTCTTGTCTTTCATGAATGTGGAAAAGCCAAGTCCTTCTGTTTATTCTGGAAGAATGAGGCAAAACGAAGCCATTATTCATTAGTAACATATTTTGCAAAGTAATGCAGATGTATTTATAAGAAGCTCTAAGGTAGGGTTAAAATGTGAAAATGAAGATGCTTTGGTCTAGTGAAGGGAAAGAATGTGGTACTTGTTCAAATCATACATACAGCAGGCTAGTGTAGTCTTGATAAGGAATAGCTGATGTGAGGTACCACCAAGGCTCACAAACTTAGCATTTTGGGGGATGCAGGCTTTTCCTCCTCTAATTAGCAATGTCTTCAGATGGAGTTCTGCCAGATTCCTCCTCTGAAGTACTGTTCAGATTCTTCTCTCCATCCTCAACCATTTGGTGTGGAGACACTGATTTCATGTGTATGATTGGTTCCTCCACACAGAAGTGAAGGAAGTTTTCATCTGCCTTCCAGACCCTTGGTTTTGCTATGTACAGCAAGAAGGCTCAGTCTAACTCAAGAATGCTTACTGTTCATTCAATGTTTGTCATGGATCTGCCTTTCCCATGTGACCCATATACTCAAAAACTGTGTTTTAATTAATCCTTGAAATTCTGTTGAAATGAGGGAGAAGAACTAATTTTCTCTTTCCAGTTTTTATTCTCAGTTCCTTTTAAATTTTTGGTTTAGAGGCTTTTTTGTAGAGTTCTTCCTTTTCAGTAATGCCTGACCTTGTACAATAAATATAGATACATTTTCTCATTGTAGTTCCAGAAATGTATTTATATTCCAGGCATCTAGAAAAAAAAAAAAAGTGTGCAGATTTCACCAGTATCCCATCTATTTTCTAAGGATGCAAAGGGTTGTAAATAGGTTGGCCAAACTACTGAAACCTGGAGGAATGTTGTTATTTCGAGACTACGGAAGATATGATACAACTCAACTTCGTTTTAAAAAAGGTAATTTATGAATGCTTTTGTGGTTCACTGTTCATTTTAACTTTCTGAAGAAAGTGACATGTCATTTTTTGTTACTGCTCTAATTTCTTAGGTCATTGCTTGTCAGAAAACTTTTATGTACGAGGAGATGGAACCAGAGTGTATTTCTTTACCAAAGGTATGAAATTGTATTGTTTTATAGAAAGGGTTGAGTGTCTTTCAAGATTTTTTGGGTTATAAAAGCTCATCTTAGAACAGAAATTTAAATAAAGGTTTATTGACTTTTTTTTTTTAATTCTCTGTTTTTACAGAGCTCAAAGCTAACTGTTGTAAGAAAACAATTCCCTTTATGCGTACACTTGTTGCATCTGGGGTTCTGCAAGATTGCTTGCAGACATCACTGGAATTTCTCTTTGTCTAAGCATCTTGTGTCTAGTGGCATGCTCAAATTCTGTTATTTAAAGATGTAGCTGATTTATTTCTTAAAATTAAGAATAATATGCTTGGAAGGACAGTTGGTAGCAGAGCTCTGATAATTTTGTTCTGCTCTGCTGGTGAATTTGAGCTGAGAGGCTTCTCTTTCTGCAGGAGCTAAACTTTAGTTTCTGATTATGGATTCTATTGCTCTTTGCCCATCCACTAATTTTGTTCTGTTGGCAGCTTAGTATATTTTACTTCAGCTGCTTGAAACTATGAAAGTGAGCATCACAATTCTTTCCTTTTTTCCTTCTTTTTAAAAAAACTTTTTTGCCTCTGCAACCTAGTCTGTAAGCAATAGGGATGGAGCAGGATTTATCCCAGTTTGAGTAATTTTAGAAGTGAGAGGAAAGATCTGGGATGTGTATGCGAAATCTCTTGAATTCAAAGAACCTTCTCAGTTTTTAAGTATCTTGCTTTGCACTTACTCGTGACAAAGATGATTTAGCTTTTCCAGTGGTGACTACAAGAAGGTGATAATGACTTTGGCATAAATGTGTGGATTGTCATTTGACAGGTGAAGTAGCTTTATCTTGTTAACATGGCAGCAGTGACCAAATGGCATGCATTTGCTTTCCTCAAGTCTGGCATACCGAACCCTTTGAATAAAGGGAATCAATGAATGCCATGAGTAATAACCAATTTAGTTTGGGCCTCATCATAATATTTTTTACTGTAATATAGAGAGCTGTGAAAATTAATTTCTAACATAAGAATTCTTACAGGCAGTTTTCTTGATCTTTCAAATCACAAAACAGATTTAGTTTCATCTTTAGTTGAACTGCAGTTTGTTAATAACTACATTCTACAAATATCTATCTTTTTTTTTTAACTTAAATAATTTTTCATATGAGAAAATAGATGAGGTATGGAACATGTTCAACATGGCTGGATTAACTGAAGTACAGAATTTAGTTGATCGGCGATTACAAGTAAACAGGAAGAAAAAAGTGAAAATGCAGCGTGTTTGGATACAAAGCAAGTTCCAAAAACCATTGCTGCCATCTCTGAATAATACTGAAGAAACTACCGAAAGGCACCTTAATAGGTAATTGTCCCATGAACTCCAGAAACTGAAGAAAATTTGAGTACGTGTATTTCCTATAAATCTTGTATTAGCCACTGAAATGGAGAAATACATTGAACTGAAAGCCTTTCCCTGATTTTCTTTGCAAATGTGTGTGTATGAAACTTATCAGAAAAAAAAGAAGCAGCATTTCCAACTTCTGTTTTACAAGCATCAAAGAGACATACATTAATCTTGTCATAAATGTGACCAGGCACTATTTTACTTCCTTGAATATGAATAGTCAATGAATATAAGCATGTATCTTGTTCCTGTTGAAATTTACAATATGTAAAAAATTTTAGACAGAAGCATAATTGTTTCAGAGACTTAGAGAAACAGAATATCTGTTCTCACTGTGACTACTAGCTGTGCTGTGTTAATTTCAGTCATGTCTCTTGTAACCACTGTGTCTGCAACTGTATTTCCTCTTTGGGGGGAAATTTCTTGGTGCATAAATAATGAAGACAAAACCTCTTTGTGATTTTCATGTAAGTTATAATTTCATACTAACTACATATGATATGCACAGATACCAGATTAGTCAGTGATCGGTGTCTTCCACTGTGGCTGGCTGACTCCTCTAAAGTCTTCACTTGCCATCTACATGCTCATCAGAAACATTCCCAACTCAAGTTTGTTTGTAAGCTAAGTAGAACTGGTTGTCTTCCAGAAAAAAAAAATAAAAAATTTTAAAAAAATCCAAGTTTAGATTTGAGGTATCTTCATCCTATTTGACAAGATGAAGGACCTGCTTAAATTCAATAAACTGAGATCTGTTTCAAGAGTGAGGTGCAATAAGGGGGCTTTGAAGGCAGAATCTGATCCTGCAGTTCTGGTGTATTCTAAACTCCCACTACAGAAAGATACAGTTCTATCATTCTATGAATTAAGTGGCTTAGGAAGCTTTGCTTAGCAATGGCATTATTGTAACCAGTAGTAAAACTTGTTGTATAAATCAAAGTTTAAAACATAGTTGTGTTTCTTCCAGCCCTAGGTCTTAAGACACTGTAGCAGCTGCTATGTAAATAAAAATCTGCTTATATTTTAATTAAGTTGCTACCCTGTGCTGTTAATCATGACTTCTGAGTATGCATGGGTTTTAGTGTAGTATAAAGCATTTGCAATTGTAGAATTTTCAAGGAGGGTGATGGAGATAAGCTCTTGAGCATCTTGTAGTCTTATTCATGTGTGTGATGTAGAATTTTCTATGTGTAGAGGCTGATTAAATGTTTGCTTTGGCTCTCACACTGATATGTTGATTCTGGCAAGATTTTAATATGCTATGTTGTTAGTTTAACAAAAATGTGACATCAGAAGAAACCAAACCTTGAATTTTCATATGGCCTTGAGCAAAATTGACTATTTCTCTCCGACACCTTGCAGCATAAGTATTGTCTGCCTCTTTTAGAATAATGGTGCCTGTTTTAGAAGTAATACGATCAAGTCTGTGTAGAATATCTACTGTAAAGTGAACAGTAACTAGTCTCAACAGTTGTTGATAGAAGGGGAAATGGACAGTGTTTCCAATAATAACTTCAGGATCTGGGTATTACTTCCCATATTTTGGCTTTGTGATACTGCAGTTTTCAAAAAGTTTAATCAAGGGCATGTTTATAAAATACTTGAAAATTTATTACATTAGTTGGGAAAACTAATACTACAATCTTGGCAAAGAAAGACAAGTAGAACTACTGAAATTGAAGAAAGAGACACAGACAACTGTATAGGAAATGCAGTTTAAAAAGGCTTACTCATAATTTCTGGGGGCAAGAAAAATTAGGGTGTTGCAAACAAAGTGTGTCCAGTATAAAAAAAGGCTATAAGTTTCACTTTGAAATCTGCTGTTAGTTCTGTAATCAGATGTGTACCTGAAATCTCTAATTCTATAAATTTATAGAAGTGCACATGATATAAATAGTAAATATTTTAATTGTTCATTTTAAATTATTTTTGTTTCTTGATTCAGCATGACTTTCTATGCTTGTAAAGCAGACTTGTAAATATATACAAATGGCAATTTGAGACAGGTAATCTTGTTAGAATTGAGCTTGGGCTTCATTGGCTTTGCCTTGCTTTGTCACTGGTGTGTACTTGCTGCTCATCTCCACTGGCATCGTGTTGTATTTATCTACAGGGATACATGAGAATGGTACGTAATGGATTAGACCTTGCTTAGTTTTTAAGCCAGTACAAGACAGCTATAAAATAAATAAAGTGACCAACGTTTTTTCTACACTAATTCTGAAGGATCAGGTCAATAGCAATTAACTCATGTAAAATATGTGTTTTCTTCCAGCAAAACCAAGGCAGATGCTTGTGCTGAATGAACAAATCCATGGAATCTGAAGAAGACAACCCAAATGCAAAATGCAGAGGGGATGGGGAGACAGCAGTTCTTGTGACACTGGGGAGAAGTTTCTTTTATTGGAAACTACTGTGTTTCTGTTTTGTCTTTTGTTTGTGACTTGGCTTATCTGCAGATTCTGCTGTTTAATAATGACTAAACATTTGTAACCAACCATCCTGAAATGTGGATTAAACACCAGAGAAAATAACATAAATTTTGCTACTTCGCTTTGATTTGTGATGAGATCGTCATTCACTGCTCCACTGTGCTCTTTCATCTGTTGATGTTTCCTCATTTCCCCTTTTTCCTGTGCACAGCAGACAATTAAGTAGTCTGTGCAGGAGCTACAGATGCAAACATTTGCAGTAAAGTTTGCTGGCTGGGTTGTTTCTAGGATTGAAGCAATGGAGTTTTATTTCCTTCTGCACAGAACAGGTTGCTTTGTCTTTTTGTGTGAATACAGTGAATCACATAGATGCTAAATTAATGTAGTGGTATTGCCTGTATTATTTTAAGTCAAATATATCTTAGGGTAAGCTATCTCTAATGGCAGTGATAATAGTAGACAGTTCATACATAAACCATTTATTTTTCATAATAGGTGGTTGGATAACCTTGGAAATAAACCATGAATACATATTATAAAAATATTAAGCATTGCTATTCTTAATACAGATTGTTTTACTTCTCAGTATCTGTAAACTTCCCTTCATGTTTGGAACAAAGATTGGACATGAGGTGTTTTTTTTACCATCAGTTATGTGGTAGTTCTCCTCCTCTTGAGAATCAGCCAGAAATTGGAGAAGTCTAGGTGTGGTAAACGTAATTGCAGTGAGTATTTAGTCAGTAAGAACTACACAGCTTGCCATCAGCATCTTCCAGGTTCTTTGTTGTACATGCTGGTCCAGGCATATAGGTCATACCTGGACTGGGCTTTGAGCTGGGAAGGGAAAATCTTTGTCTAGTGACCATCCTCCACCCTTTGCTAGTACCAAGCAACTAAAAGAACTTGTCTGATCTGAAAGTAAGAGCCAAAGAGGCAGGAGGGGAGAAAGATGGAGATGCAGCTCAAAGGCAAACAAGAGAAGGACTCAGTTGTTTCCTCTGTGAACTGGAGTAAGAAGGATGCCTGGACGGACTGACAAAGCAAGAAGAATGAGATGCAGAACTGAACAGGGAACTGAGCAACTTGACACCATGAGCACCATACAAGGAGATAATGTGTAACAGCAGACAATGTGGCAAGGTGAGGACATTTGGCCTTGTAAGGAGTTAAATGAAATAGAGGAGTCAAGAGGAAAAAGGGACTGATCTGATAATGGAAATAGGGTGAAGTCTGGGTAAACAAAGAAATTTGGATAAGGATTGAAGGTGGAAATACCTGTCTTCAAACTCTGTGTTTTCCCAAGTGATACTGAATGTTCACATCTTAGTGGACTATGATAGGCTTTGTCTTTCAAGCATATGTGCAAAATGCATTTCAAATTGTTACAAAGATGAAAGGTTTCATTTGTTGTAGTTTATGTGTGCTAAGCACACGTGTTTGCAACAGTGCAGGCAGATTTATGACATACCTGCTTTTCTTTTTTTCCTTAGGGAACAATGTGTTTACCTTCTTTCAGGTAGAAGAAGCTACACTCCTCACCTCCTGGAAAGCAAATACAAAAGAAAAACAGAAGCATCTACAACCCAATTTTGTTCAATCAAGGTGAGACACTTAAATTTACTCAGTATATTCTGATGCTGTCCCATTTAAATAAAGACCATATCTGCAGATTATCACCTCAAAGTTCTTTACAATCTTAGTTTCTCTTGTACTCATATCTGTTCAACAGAACTGAAATGCATTTGTATAAACTAGAAATACAACTTAAAAGGAAAATAGCAGTATAATCTTTAGGCTTTATCTGGGATAACAACAGTTTAGAGGACTGTTTATTATTTTAAAGCACAGTTGCAGAGGAACTGAAAAAATTTCCATCCAAGAGGCTGAAAATTTATGTTATTTGTGGTATAATGTACATCATCAAGAATATGAAACCTACTATCTGTGTTATGAAATTTCATGTACTTAATTTTAGCCAAAAGTATCTCATCAGTTGATATTGTGAAAAAGGAGTTAGCAACAAGGAAGTCCCATTTTCAGAGGATGTTTCATTGATCAGGTGACTACAATTTTGAAGTGAACATGAAAGATCAAAAAAGCAAGTGGATTAGTTTAATGATATCTAAAAACCACTGATGACAAACTCAATTTAATAAACGCTAAACGAATAATCTGAGCATTCCATTCCAGTGTATTGATACTAACTGAACTTTTAAGTTCATTAAAAGCACAGATTTGGTGTATGCTGCTTGTTATACTAACAAAATATTAGAACTTATAAGTATAAAAAATGTATGTGAAAGGGAAAATCTGCATATTTATGGTTTAAGATTTTAAAATGCTTCCAATTAAAAAAAATACAACAGTCCTACACCCTCTCTTAGTACTTCTTGTGAGATCCAAACAATGCTCAGCAGCAGAGCTGGAGAGTAAACCTGAATACAAAATGGGTTTAGTAGGCACAGTTTACTGAATTAAGAAAAGACAGAGAGGAAAAGAAGAATAAAAAATAGAACACATTAATTGGCAC